ATGCTGGGATCAAGGACTACTATGTTTGTTAAAGTGAATGACTTTGACTTATATTCAAGGTCACAGGGGTCAAATTTGTTTAAAATCTTTAAACAACCGCTTATGAATAACCATGGGTCCCAGGATGTTTATACTTTGCAAGTTGCATCCTGAGATGAAAGGCTATACAATGTGTTCAACATAATGACTTATTTCGACTTTCAATCACAGGGGTGAAATGTTTAAAAAAAAAATAACAGGGTCTTTTGAATGAATTTATCATAAATACTGATATTTTGCCTGTAGCTTTATTTTATATCACTTTTAAGGTTACAAGTGTGAGATTTATACCAGGTGAGCGATGCAGGCCCATTGGGCCTCTTGTCTTATCTTGTATTTGCTGATGACGTATTTTCTTACCTTCCGTACATATCTATACAATTTGTCGGTCCCGGAGAAACTCCTCGCATTTGCAGGATTGAAGTAAATATCTCTTAAATAATCTTCCCAGAAAGGAAGTCTTCCCTGTCGAGTGCCAGACGTTATAATGAGGCTCTTTTGAAGTTTGCCGATTTATATCAGTTTCCATCATCATCATCATCAATCATCATCATCATCATCCAAAATCTCTTCTAAGACATGACGGTTCTTTTTGAGTGCCATCTTGATCGCCCTATGGTCCCCATAACCATCGTCTATGACTTTCTCGTGAACCAATCCGTCTTGTAACTGAAGAATATATCTTATCATAGACCCGTACATTTTGTTGAATAGATCCATGTCTTTTAGTTTCGGTTCGTCTTCGTCTTCATATTCTCATTTCCTTTTACGAGAATCATTTTCTGGACACCAACTCTTTACGTGCCTCTGTAAAACGTGCATGTCTTGGAACAATATCCCGCAGTCGTCACAGGCCGGTATATCTTCTGTTGGTAACTGCCGAGTTTCGTCTTTATTTTGCTGCTGCTGCTGGGAATACGTCCGATCGGTTGTAGTGTCGGTCTCAAAATCTGGTCTTTCAGTCCTTTTATAGGCTGTTCACAAAATACGTCACTGCGCATGCGGGTGTTGCAGGTTTCAAATCGACGACGAGATATCCGTACGGCTTATGGGTGCCCTCTTTGAAATGTCTCATCAGGTGTTGAATATGTTCAAGGTACATCTGTCTGGCAAGAGTCATGACCTGTTGTTTATCGATAGGGTTGTTAAACAATACCAGATACATGTAGTGGCAGTTACGCCTTTGAGTCGGGTCTTTTGTTGTAGTAGAGGTTCTGATTGATGGCAATGACAGACAAGTTTCTGTGGTGGCTTCCCCCGGTAAACAATTCGTTAATGCGAGGGTCCTTGCTTACTGTTGACATTAGATCGTCCAGAATGACAAGGTTTCATATTCCAGGGTTTATGAATGAATCCTGATCTAAATCCAGTGGCATTCCCTGGATACAATCCACGTTCGGTAAAACAGTTTTTTTTGATGACGTCATAGAGAGTTTACCACCGTTTGTATAGCCAAATGATTCGCTGTGGAACTGGTGTTATTTTTGTCAAACAGTTTTGTAGTCAAGTCTTTACAAAGTAAGTCTTCCAACAAGACGTCGGTCCCGACACATTTGCAGTGAAAGGGTGTTGAAAAACAAAGTGCTGCTACTGGGTAACTCCATCTTCATGGTAGGACGGCTGCCTTTCCGGGTATTGCTGCTGCTGCTGGGTAACTCTATCTTCATGGTAGGACGGCTGCCTTTCCGGGTATTGCGGCTGCTGCTGCTGGGTAACTCCATATACATGGTAGGACGGCTGCCTCTCCAGGTATTGCTGCTGCTGCTGGGTAACTCTATCTTCATGGTAGGACGGCTGCCTTTTCGCGTATTGTTGTTGCTGCTGCTGCTGTTGGGTAACTCCATCTTCATGGCCGGACGGCTGCCTTTTCGGGTATTGTTGTTTATGTTGCTGCTGCTGCTGGGTAACTCCATCACCATAGTAGGACGGCTGCCTTTCTGGGTGTTTGTGTCTTACGTGACGTTTCAAATCATGTGGCCAGATATATTCACTCAAATAAGACACTGGTGTTTCATATCGATGTGTTCTCTTCGGTGTCTTCTTCAGAATGAAATTTGATCGGTTTCACTCCCGTATTTATACCCTTTCTATTCACTGTCAGCATTCTCATCATTTAATTGGTTGACACATTTTTTGCATTTTTTTTACCTCAAACATATAATAGATTTTGAAGCATGCGAACGCGTTAAATTTTCCTGAACATAACGGGGCATATAACACCATCTTCTTTATCGTTTCTACAAGAGTTACTGATTAAAGGACCGAGGGTCCTAAGGTGTTCGTACGAAGACAATCAACGCTACTGTCACCAGTAATGGAGCATCACCCGATGGGTCTAAATGAACTATTGGCCGGAAAGATGTTCCTGGATATCGCGGGGACATGTCACTTTATAACGCCAAATATTAGTATGTAAATATTGCACAATATATCCAAATCTTTTGATACAAAAAGGAGCTACAGGTAAATGTTAAGCTGTTGTTATTATTGCGTTGGCATGTCTGATTAAAGGACCGATGGTCCTATGGTGTTCGTACGAAGACAATCAACGCTTCTGTCGCCAGAAACGGAGCATCACCCTATGGGTCCACATTCATTATTGGCCGGAAAGATATTCCTTGATATCGCGGGGACATGTCACTTTATTACACCCTCTTCCCGTTGTGGGCTTGTGACACCGCCCTAATCCAGTACACCCAATTCATGTGTGACAAACACCTCAGACTTTACAACTTATATTACTACATTATTTCAACATGTATGGCTAATAGTTAGTTAATACTTACCTTTTCCAATGCTGATTATCGCTGAGGGTTTAGATCCTACTCGTCCAAGTGTCCGCTTTAGAATGAGCTTGATTTGGTCCTCAATTTATACCTTCTGAAACCATGAATGGAAATCGCATAACTTGATTATTTAAGTGATGATTTTGCAAATTTATTTTGCAATTTTCTTCAATTTGTATTTTATTTTGAAATAATCAGACGCGTTTTTCTTGCCTCCCGAAGTAGAAACTTTCTACCAAGCCCGAGAGTCCAAATGGCAACGTTTAGCTCTACGAAAAGCCACCTACCTAAACCTCTCGACTGAGCAAGCCTTCCTTACACCTCTACCTATTTTGTACGTATACACAGTACATAATATGTCAGGCTAGATATACATGTAAGGTGAATTAATATAGGGATATGGAGAATATACATGATTGCTAAAGGTTTGTCCTTTTAAATAAGCTTTATATGAATAATGATTATGTGATGTGTGAAGGTATTGCATCTATGCTAGGATATAGTTCGTCTTAAGGCTATGCCGTTTACACTAGGTTCACATTGTTGGTCAGCGTAGTTTGTATTTATGAACGTATACAGTATCTTTACCATAGTGATATTGAAAATATACATGGGTTCTGAATGTTTGATGTTTGAAATATGAATCACAAGAATGAGGATAATGTAGGTGTGTGTATATCTCGAGTCTATACTAGTATTTTCTTGGGCAGTTTATTATGCTGTATGGCGGTATCTGTAAACCAGGCATGCTGTGTGACCTACTAAGACTTTTTAGTTCTGTGTTTCATAGTAAGTAGGATACGGAAAAAAATGTTGTACATATATCGTCTTCTCGTTGTTATTTTGTATAATGTTCTAGAAGAACTTATCCGGTTGTAACAGGTTCAACTATTACGTGATGCAATCGTTGCCGTTATAAATAGATGCAGTCAGGAAAAACCCAAATACATCATCGATGAGAACCCCCCTACACTTGTGACGTAATCGATCGGGTGCCACTAGGGAGATGCAAGGGAGGTGGTAAGGATTATATATGGGAGTGCACCGGATGGCCCTGTGCCAGAACCGGTACTTTTTACAAAACTAAACGGTGCCATTTCCGGTTCCGGGACATAACTTTTATTTGCTATCGAATATTTGCAAGCATTTACCGTACCCGAAAGAAATTTTTTAATGTTTGAAGATTGCATGGCTTTTGTTGACTTCCCACAGACGGCGTTTGCTTGAATAACGTTAAAACAATGGTACACTCAGACTTTTCCTTTTAATAATTAATAACGTTTGTGCCAAATCTGGTGTGGGGTCGCTGCTCTTATTCTCCTTAACAATGATCCCGCGACCGTGTTTTTTATCCATGCCACTCCCGAAGCAGGGCTTGTGTCGTTAATGCAATTTGCCTTGCCCTCCTGTCCAACTTGTGCCACAAAGGATCGCGAACAAGTAAATTCTGTGAGATTGGAATTCGAAAACAGACGAAGATATTGCTTTCGATACGGAAGCCACTTAAAATACTCGCTTTATCGTGCTGCCACGTAACATTAGCTGGTGATTAAACGGAACAATTTGTGGGTTTCTGAATCTGATCTGGATATATATCTTGTGCATATTAAATAAAGAATGTTTGTCGAAAATGTTAACAAAACCGTTATTCAAAAAAATTGACAAAAGAAGGGCTAAATATGAACAAATGTTTACATCGATTCAAGACGTCGATGGGATCGGTCCCCAGGCCAGGGCATATCAAAGTCCTTAAAATGGTAGTTGTTCTTTGCTAAACGTTCAGGATTTAGGAAAATCGCAACAATTGGTAAACTAGTTTTTACATGTACTATGATGTGACCTTGTGGTCATTTTCAATGAACAGTCTAAAGTAGGCATTCTACCCGCGTTATAAACATGCATTACACACATAGAGGTACGTAACGACCTAAGCTTTGGACGTAAACACAATAAAAATCAACCAAACCATGCATGCGGATTCTAAAAGAGTCCAACAGCAATAATAAAAGTGTGGTCGAGTGGCACGGTGAACATCCTGGAAATTCCAGGCCCCTAGAGTATGTGATGACTCCCAACTCCTTAAGTAGGGCAAGTTAGTTATTTCTGGTGTGTCGGGTAGACTCCCTACCATAGTGTATATTGTAACATGAAAGCGGAAACATGTAACTGAAATTGAAAGGAGAGGGGAAAGGTTATAGGAGAAGAAAGTTGAAATTAAGTAAATATGGTATATATGGCAAACTTCTTCGATGACATTATTTATCACATGGTATGGAACGTGTACATAGAAGGCTATAGTGCGTGAGTAATAAGTCCCATTAGGGCAATGCTAGTATGCTTTTGTGACTCAATCATTTGATACGACGTTAATTCTGTGCCTGTGGATAGAGTTACATATCAACAGCTTTAATAACACATGTGGTCGACAACACATAGGCCTAATGTTCGGTGTTGTGGTGTGCGTGTTCGAGTCACAGCTTATGCACAGTGAATAATGTCAGCTGAAGTGTATGTGCACATTTATTTGCAACGAAATCCTGTGAAACAAACGAAGCCCGAAACAAACAGTTCATTGTAACAAATTAATGACAAATAATCATTAAATGTTATACTGTCCCTTCTGAAGACAACTTTGAAATATTACCTTATCTTCCCGTTCACGCAGAGACGTATATACTGTATGTCTCTGGTTCATGGAGGTGATTATGTTACACTGTGCATGCATAATCTAATTTGTAAATATTGTGGATAAGCCACGCATGCGCTCATTTCTAGCTTCCCTGTGAACAATATCACGATATGAATCATGAACAAATCTGGTAGGAAAGTTCCTTGTTGGATTATTGCCACCAATTGTTTTGCATTTAATAGTTTTATGAAAGGATAATAAAAAGTGCTAAACAACGTTGTCTGTAATTTATAAATAGAATGAAGACAAGAATTAGTTCAAAATTATGTTGATCCTCTACAAGCAGTGCTGATTTACATAAAACAAGTTGTCACGATTAAATCTCAGATAGAGACTCTCCACTTGTCTGAGTTATTTTGTTTTAATCCATCATTAACCGTGACATTGTCAGACGAGCAGCAACATTTTGGGGTTGTGTTCTTTTCAATAAATCAGTTCTAAGAACGACGTTTTGTACTTTTAGTTTCATTTTGTCTGTATTTCGGAAATTCTATCGTACAGATTTGTATGTCAAAACTTCATGTGAACTTTTTCTCTATTGTTGGCTCGGTATGGTTAGGGATATTTTAGAAAACCTCCATCACTGACGATTGTTTGGAAGAAACAGGCATATTTTATGAGATATTGAAATTTGTTTTTAGTTTGAGGAGGATTAATTGATTAATTGTTCAGATTCTTTAGAAAAGGCATATTATTATATGTCATTATATTTGGTTCAGGGAAATCTACACATGTATTGTGTTAGTGATTTGGAATGTAGAAGGACATTTTATATGAATGTTCTTACAGTAAAGAACAATGTGCAATATCAATGAACCTAGAGTAAGACAGATCATGTTTATTAAATTAAAATGGAATGAGGAGGAATATGAAATGTTTATACATTTGAATTGAGGAGGAATATTTCATGCCAATCAATTAAATCGAGGAGATATATATCATATTGACGTTCTTCGAACAAGGAAGATGATGTCATGCCACGCAAGCAATCCGAAAGTAAGTAAAGTTGACATTTTTCGTGGTTTCGCTTTTTAAACATTTAACAAATTTTGAAGAAGTCAACACCAATGTGACTATGGTAATTTAATTCCCCGATCTGCTACTATCTGAAGTCTCCGGCGATATCTGCTACAAACATTAATGACAAGAGCCACAACATATAGGCCTAATGTTAGGTGTTGTGGTTTGCGTGTCGGAGTTACAGAAAATGCACTGTGAATAATGCCAGCTGAAGTGTATGTGCACATGTATTTGCAACGATATCCTGTGAACCCAACGAAGCCCGAAACAAGCAATTCATTGTAACAAATTGATGACAAATAATTATCAAATGTAATACCGTCCCTTCTGAAGACAACTTTGAAATCTTACCTTTAATGTTTCCCGTCCACGCAGAAACGTATATACCATATGTCTCTGGTTCAGGTTAATGATTCTGTTACACACACTTTGCATGTATAAACTAATTTTTAAAAATTGTGACCATGGATAAGCCACGCATGCGCTGATTTCTAGCTTCCCTGTGAACAATGTCACGATATGAATCATGAAGAAATCTGGTAGGAAAGTTCCTTGTTTGATTATTACCACCAATTATTGTGCATTTAATAGTTTTATGAAAGGATAATAAAAAGTGACTCCTAAAGAACGTTGTCTGTAATTTATAAATAGAACGGAGACCAGAATTATTTTAAAATTTCTTTGATCCTTTACACAAGCAGTGCTGATTTACATAAAACAAGTTGTCACGATTAAATATCTGATGGAGACTCTCCACTTGTCTGAGTTATTTTGTTTTAATCCATCAATTAACCGTGACATTGTCAGACGATATGTTCAATAAATCGGTTCTAAGAACGACTTTCTGTACTTTTAGTTTCATTTTGTTTGTACTTCGGAAAATCTATCGTACAGATTTGTATGTCAAAACTTCATGTGAACTATTTCTCTAATGTTGGCTCGGTATGGTTAGGGATATTTTCGAAAATCTCCATCACTGATGATTGTTTGGAAGAAACAGGCATATTTTATGAGATATTGAAATTTGGTTTTAGAGGAGAAATCATTGAGTGATTGTTCAGATTCTTAAGAATAGGCATATTGTTATATGAAATTATATTTGGTTCACGGAAATCTACACATGTATTGTGTAAGTGATTTTGGAATGTAGAAGGACATTTTATGTGCATGTCCTCGCAGTGAAGAACAATGAGCAATATCAATGAACCTAAGTAAGAAAGAGCATGTTTATTAAATTAAATTGGAATGAGGGGGAATATAAAAAATATAAATGCATTTGAATTGAGGAGGTATATTTCATGCCAATCTATCAAATCGAGAAGATATATATCATAATGATGTTCTTCGAAGAAGGAATATTATTTTATGCCAAGTAAGCAATCCGAAAGTAAGTCAAGTTGACATTTTTCGTGGTTTTGAATTTTAAACATTTAACAAATTTTGAAGAAGACAACACCAATGTGACTATGGTAATTTATTTCCCCGAGCTGCTACTATCTGAAGTCTCTGGCGATATTTGCTACAAACATTTATGACAAGAGCCACAGCGGATAGGCCTTATGTTAGGTGTTGTGGTGTGCGTGTTCGTGTGGCAACATATGTTCTGTCAACAATATCAGCAGAAGCGTCTGCACAAGATTTGCAATAAAATCCTTTGACACACAATGCCCGAAATGAGCCATTTATCGTAACAAATAAGTGACAAATTATTATTAAAAGCAGGCTATACTGTCCCAAAAAGTAAATCCAAATAAAATAAATAAATTCTCATTCTGAAGACCACTTTGAAATTTTACCTTTAACGTTCCAGTCCACGGAAGTGATTTAGTTTGATGCACTGTGCATGTATCAGCTACTAATTTCTGAATAAAGACTGAAAGTTATACACGGTATAACGTGGACAAGTCGCGCATGCGCTGAATTCTAGCTTCCCTTTGAACAATATCACGATGTAAATTATGAGCAAATCTGGTATGAAAGTTACTTGTTGGAATATTCCCAACAATTATTGTGCACTTGTACACTTTATTTATTTTACAACAATTATGAAACAAGTTATTTAACTTATTTAAATCACACTTGTTGGCCTAGATGTTAGCGCGCGGGGGTATTGATGTGGGAGGAAAGTACCCAGAGGAAACCCATGTGGTCGGGCAGGTGACTCAATACCTTTCAAGTCCGACCAGGAAAACCGAACCCCAGTCGCCTTTGTGAAAGGCAAGTGCGCATTCCATTGCGCTTGGTGACAACACAATATTGTGCATTTAATAGTTTTATGAAAGGATAAAAAAAAAATCCTGAGAGAGGTGCCGTTTGGCCGAAAATTTCTATTTACTGTTTTTGAAAACGAGTTTTCTCAATTAAGTTAATGGGAAAGAAACAATCTTAACCTTTTATCAAGGTCACAAGGGTCAAATTTGTTAAAACACTCAAACGGCTTTTCCTGAAACACAAACAGCCTTAATCCATGATGTATTTCAAGCAGCTTGTTGTAGCAATGAGTGCCTTAAAGTATTAGAAAAGACGTGACTTGACCAATATTCAAAATCAGTATTCAAGGTCTCATGGGTCAAGAGATTTTCTAAAAATAAAAAAGATCGAGAACCATAATTGATGCCTAGCAGTTTGCTACAAGGTTTGGGTATATTTACCGATATTTGTTTAAACACTTGAATCGCTTAATAGGAAGCATAAAATTGCTTCCAGTCATGGTGTATGACTTTTAGCTGATTGGCTATGAGTATTTCAATATAAAGGAAAAGGAATTACTATGACCATTATCAAAGGCTACGAGGGTCAAATTTGTTAAGATACTCAAAGAGCTTTTCTGAAATAAACAGGCCTGTAGTGATGATGTACTGTAGTCAGTGATTTGCTGGCGATGTGTGCCACAAACTTTTAGAAGAAAAATAACCTGGACTTATGTTTAAGGTCACAGAGGTCAAATCAGTAAAACTCTCAAATGGCATCTACTAAAGAACCAAGAGACCTAATGCATGATATATACCATGTAGCTTGCTTGCCTGGAGTACTAAAACTTTTCATTTCATTTCAACAACTTTTATTCAAGATGGTTTATATGAATACGATTGAACAACAAGAAACGCCTATGTCATTTCTGTTCTGTAAAAGATGTACAGATGCATTTGTATGCAACAGTTTTGTAATCAATAGTGAAATAAAAAAAATGGGGGGGGGGGGGGGGGGGGAACTGATATACAGAAAGACATCAAAAGGCAAGTTAATAGTTAAGGGGAGATGACTCCATAATTAATTGAAGAAATGACGTGGAAATTCCAAATCCTCACAAATTGACTTGTACAGGGTCATATTTCATAACACAAACCACAAACATACTTGTAGACACACTACATTCATAATCACTGAGGCTCTTTACATAATACAATTATAGGGTAACAGTAAAGTACTGATAATTACATGACATCTCCTTTCTTTTTTTTTAATTATTGATAGAAAATTATTATTACTGCAAATAAAGTTAACAGTAAAGTACTGATAATTATGAAATATCAATTCACTTTAAAAGTTATTGGGATTGTAGGTACATGTATATGAACATTTGATACCACTTAAGATTTAAACAATTATTTTAACTGTATCTTGACTTTGTGATTTTGTTTTTATAGTTCATACAGTCCATAAGAATATTGTCTGATGCGATATAACGAACAAAACACAAAGTAGAATTAAAATAATAAAAGTTAACTGTTTAAGCAAATATTTGTTAACACTTATTAATGCATATATCCGAGTCCTAAATTGATATAAGTTCAACTGTTAACCGTTATTTCAAGTCAATTATTACTTGAACCGACTCAGCTTCCTCAATTCGCTTCCTGATCGTGTCCTGCACGCCTCGTTCGGGGTTGGCGGTTCAAATGACTGCGACTTGAGATCACAAGTTTTGTTTGAGTTTGTCGCGACACATTTGCTAGAATCTGGATTTGAACTTGGCACCATGATCTCGGGTTCGCAGTCTATATCCTCCTTTGGCTTAATGGGTATTGACTTGGTTGGTTTCAGGTGTACCCTGTTCCTTCTAAATTGTCTCCCATTACCAGTCTCCACTTATAGGATCTGGGCGCTTGATGTGTTTGTACTTGTAAATGAACCGTGCTGCCATTCTTTGTTGTTGCCCGTTTTCATCATCACCATACCATTCTCTTTTTGACCATTTGTGGATACGTCTGCTGAAATGATTGCGTTGTTGCGACTGTCTTAATTTCAAATTTTCTCGAATCTCATCCGAAACTTGAGGCTTCAATAGAGGTAGAGTTGTTGGTAATGTTGTCTTAAGCCTTCGTCCCAGAAACATTTGTGCTGGTATCAATCCAATTTCATCGATAGGACTGTTTCTGTAGTCAAAGATAGCTGGATATGGATTGTCCGCCTTCTTTAACAGTTTTTTTAACTGTTTGCACCATTTTCTCCACCTGTCCATTGGATTGTGGGTTATGAGGGCTGGTGGTTACGTGTTCAAATCCATAATCTTTCGAAAATTTTAAGAATTCTCTGCTGGCGAATTGTGGTCCATTATCACTGATAACTTGGTTCGGACTTCCTTATTTGGACATCTGACTCTTTGCATGTTTTATAACAGCATTACTATTCAAGTTCTCCAGTTCTGCTATTTCCGGCCATTTCGAGAAGAAATCACCTGTCAGCAGATAGTGTTTTCCATTCATTTCATTTTCAAGTCCATAGCTTATTTTGACCAAGGTCGATTTGGTATCTCGTGCGACACCACAGGCTCCTTTGGATTTCTTTTTGCGTGTTTGGCACAAATACTACATTTTGCAACCTTCTCCTCCATGTTGGATTCCATGCCTAGCCAAAATAACACTTCCCTCGCACGCGCTTTACATTTGACTATACCGAAGTGCAATTCATGTATACATTCGAGCATTTCCTTTCGGAGATCTTTAGGTACATGTATGATCAGTTTTGGTCCTTTGAACATCAATCACTCAATACAGGAGATCTCGTTTCTGTAGTTCCAATAGGGTCTGATTTCTTCCTTTGTTTCTTGCCATCCCTTTAAACTTTGTCGTTTCAACTCCTCCATTTCAGCGTCATTTTCGGTGGTTGCCTTGATCACTCTATACTTCTCAGGGGACACCGGTACATATGACAACAGGCAGATTCCATTACCAGTAAGATCCTCCACCAGAGTTTCTGTCGTTTCCTCCAAGTAACCTCGACAGCATGTCTGCTACGATCATCTGCTTTCCTGGTTTGTAGACCATTTCCAAATCATACTTTTGAAGAGAGAGTAGTAATTTCTGAAGACGAGCAGGTACCTGGTGCATTGATTTCTTGAAAATGCATTGTAGAGGTTTGTGATTGGACTCTACTCTTAACTTTCCTCCCGTACAGATATTGACGGAATTTTATGCATCCATACACGATAGCTAATGTCTCTTTTTCAATTTGAGAGTAGCGTTCCTGAGTGGGAGTTAAGGCCCTTGAGACATATGCGATAGGTTTGTCGTCTTGTATGTTTGCTGCACCCATACCTTTTGAGCTGCTATCAACAGTTAATGTGATTGGCTTTCGTGGGTCAAAAAATGTCAAAACTGGGGCCTCTGTCACCATGGTTTTCATAGTTTTAAAACTTTCTTTCTGTTGATATTGCTATTCCAAGGGTGTGTTCTTCCCGAGAAGATTTCTCAACGGCGCAGATACCTCTGACGAGTTGGGTATACATTTAACAAGATACTGCACAAATCCTAGGAATGACATCAGTTCCTTCTTTTCATCTCCTGGACTGCTCTGACCTTCAGGATATGGTTTAAGACCATCCTTACTGTGAACATGACCCACATACGTCACTTCCTGTCTGCCAAACTGACATTTTTCAGCATTCAATCTGAGGTTATATGTCTTTGCTTTTTCTAGCACTGCTATTATTCTCTGATCGTGTTGCTCAATGGTTTTCCCCATATAAGAATGTCGTTAACTATGGTCTCTGCCCCGGCGATATCCTCCACCATGTTCGACATTACTTACTGGTTGACCTCTGGAGCAGAATTTAACCCAAAAGGCATTCATTCTCAAGTATCTATACCGTCTAAACGGTGTGTTAAATGTGCAGAGTTTTAAGCTAGGCTCATCCAACTGTAACTGCCAAAATCCGGACGTTGCATCAAGTTTGCTGAAATGATTTCGTCGATGGTGAGCATGGGGTAATGGTGACGTTTAATAGCCTTATTCAGGTCCCTCGGGGCCAAAAAAATCCTGATTTTTCCATTTGGTTTGGTAACAGTGGTCATACTATTGACCCAGTTTGTTGGTCACGTCTCGCGTACTATCATGTCATTTTGTTCCATGCGCGTCAGTTCATCTTTAACTTTGTCTCTGATTGCCACTGGCAATTTCCTCGCCGGGGGAATAACAGGTTGAACACTACTGTCTATGTGAATTGTATGCTTTCCTGGGAGACAGACTAATCCTTTGAATAGATCTTTGTAATCTTCGCAGAGCTGTTGATAATCTGTTGGGCTGTTATCCGCGCTAGTTGAATCACTCCCAGCGTTCACACGGAACATACGTTTTACTAAACTAACTTCGAGGCAACTACCTGCACCAAGTATTGTAGGGGCTGTTTTATCAATGACTTGAAACTTTAGTTTCTTACATGTATTCTGGTCAGGAGAAAACACAGTTAAGTCTCACAGTTCCAATAGGCTTTATTGCATGTTCACTATATGATCTTAGTTTTGAGTGTTTTCTCAAGTAGGGTATATGTACTGACCTTTAACCTCTGTAGTGTCTGGCAACTGATGACATTACATCTGACACCTGTGTCTACGTGCATCTGTACTTGATGACCTTGTACTTGTCATTGTACTGTCCAATCATCAATATATGATCGACGATGGCATCTGTGGTGCGCGATGTCGTCCGCTTCTGACACCATGTCATTTTTAATAACACAAACCACGTTTTCCCAGGAGTGGAACTGGACCCTAGAGCCAATCGTAGTAGCATGAGTGTAATAGTCTCTATGCCTTGCAATAGTGGCAGTTTGAAATGTTGACTTGTGTTAATTTTGAGAGTAAGTTGTTTATACGGTTATAGGTTTGTATAGGTGTCCTGTTTCGACGGGACACCACTGTCTTGATTTGAGGACGGTATGTTTCTCAACAGCTAGTAACAAAATTGAGCTCCGTATGACCAATGTATATACATGGACTGTAGATAAGATGACATATAAAGCATTCAATTCGGTAACAAGACATTACATGTTATAATATTGGTAGATCTATTTTTATGAATGCATCAGCCTTAATGCCCTATTACAAACTAAGATAAAGTTGGTCTATATCCTTTCAATAACTAAATTTTAGTTCAATATATCTTGAAATATGTACCGATATTTGATTGGTGGTTTTATAGACGTCTCTATTCCGTTGAAATATACAGCGACCATGCCATCTTTTTGAACCTTAGAGACTTATCAATACATCAAAATATGTTGTTTTTGTGTCGTGTTCTGGTGAACTACAAACATCTGTTCATTTTTTCGAAGTATTTGTTAAAGTTTTTTTGTGTATTTTTCCTGATCTTTTATGTCAAATGTCTGCTTTGTAAGCATACAAAAGGCCATATCTCTGTTAAAAATGCGTGTATATTTTCAAAGTACCAACTTATTCAAGTTATGTTTTTATCAAGTTATTATTACCAGGATTTATCATATTTCTACAAGTAAATCATCAGGAAAGTAATGACAAGGACAACAACGATACATGACGGATGATACAGGGTATACCATAATAGTATCCGTCGGTAACAGTCTTAGGTAAATATATATAAATATATAAATGATTAACAAACTGTTAACGTCAAAGCCTGTTTAAATAATTTAAATTTATCATATGTTTTCATATTTTAACTCAAAAATATATTCCTTTGGGCAGAAAATAATTTTAGGTCGAATCCAGTTAGCATTAATGTGTTTTACTTTTGTCATGCTTATTACGTGTTTATATGACTGTATATCGTGAAAATCTTAATCCTTTTAAGTCTCACAATCTTACACTCGAAATTCCTCTTGGCGTCTATTGCCGATCTGTTGTCCAAGGGACTGCACTATCTTCTTTTATACATTATATATCAGCTTGCCCTAGTGATCTTTCAAACCAATATGGTTATAAGCCGTGCAGTCGTTTGGAAGGAGGAAAGTATTTAAATAAGCTGCCCTAAATTCACATTTCAGGCCCCTCCCCGGCAACATGTACATAATTCATTTAACAAACTATAATCACCTTGCGCAAGTTATGATACAAACTAAAGATAGTAACAGGTCGTTCAGGTGGAATAGATTTTTTGAAAATGAAAATTGTCTATTTTTTTCCTAAACCGGGTCTATGTTTTGCTACGTCCCTCCCACCCAGGAGTCATTTAAACTTCATTTGTAGACAATATGATTACTTTGCCCAAGTTGTCTTTCAGACAAAATATGATCAAACAAAATGTTCAGTCCTTTAGGAGATGCAGTCTTTTTAATTGCTGAATTTCACCATTTTCCTCTTTTTGCCCTATCCCTCAGCCCCCAGGAGCAGTCCAAATTCCATTTGACACAATGCTATTCTGAAGTCCAAGGATGAATAAAAAGACTGATTCGGGGGCAAAAAACGGCCGATACCACGCAGATTCTGTCAAGAATTGTTGAATAAGCTGATTTTGCCAGACGTTTCGGATCCTGATATTCAAGCAAGATGTTGTACTTATCAAGGTGAATTAGACAGTAATCAACCCAATGGCCTAGTTATCTGAATGTATAGCAATCAGTCTCAGAACGACGACGTTTCGCACAGTTTCTACAATAAAACAAACGAAATTTATTATTTAGAATTTAGAAAATATTGAAGTCCAGAACACATCAACAATCTGTTGGTTAGTGATGCTTATGATTTTAACTTTTTTTAAAGTATATACATTAAAAAGAGGTTGCATTAATTCGATCATATAATAGTTGACGTGAAATATTGACACATTTACGTCTTAATCGACAATAAACAAAGTTTGACCAAAGTCATCACATTGTAGAATAAGTTGATTTTGCAAGACGTTTGAGATCTAAAACCATGGTGACCTACCTAGGACAGTCCTCAGCCCAGTGACCGTAACCTTCACACCGGAAACATTGTGTGTTTGGACAGTTATCCATGCTGTGTCCTAGCTGTCCACACATAACACATGCGATCTTAAAGTGGTCGGGTTTGCGTTGACCAAAATGGCGACTTGTTGTGTAGTCACTACAATAACAAAAATGGATCAATTAGAATATAGGAAAAATTGAAAATAGTCACATTCATGTGGGTTGACGATAATTCTGATTGTTATTTTGCCCAAAGACAAGTGAACTTATTTCCCATAGCCCGGCGTCCGTCATATTTGACTTTTATGGTTTCAAGATGGCAGCCATTGACTCTGATTGGCAGTGACAATATTGGATATCAACTGAGTTTAATGGAGTCGTTAATACCATGCGGAAGTGATACATAGGGATATATAATATACCTTTTATTAAAAGCGGAGGAGGGGATGTATAAGTAAGCATATGGCCTATGGATATAAGTCGTTTTAGCTCACAGGCTTGGTATAATGAGTACTTTTAAGGGTTCGTTAAATAAATTTCATATGATTAAGGAAGTCCATATAATACCTTCTTAAATATTGAATTAATTTGATCACTATACAAATGTATTAGGTCGCTGTACAAGTATATCATTAAATGTATTAAAGCCCACCTGAATATTTAAAACAGGATTTGGCAATAACAGTTTGTTAATCAATTACCTAAAATAGGTTGTAGGGTAAATTAAGATGGACGCTCTAACCAACTATGCTACCTGGTTGGCGGCGAATGACCTAGTCCAGTTCCACTACATTTACATGATTGTACTTATCTTTGTTAAGGCCTGTGAGTCATGCAGTGGTGAGTCTTTTTGCTAAATAATTGACTATTAGTGTTTATAGCATATTGCTTACTGTATCAGGTGTTCTGTCTGTATACTTTGTGCAGGTTTATATACAATGTAGTGGCCTCGCATTGCACTTGATCTTTGCAATACTGTGCGAGTCTCTGTTGCAGGTGATACGTAATATGAGAGTAGTACCTCTTATGAGGTTTAAGGGTTGATAGTCTTTTTAAACGTATATTCATTGAAAGATGTTCCATTAATAATATCATATAATATTTGACATGAAATATTGGCCAAAAGCATTGCATTATAGAATAAGTTGATTTTGGAAGACATTTAAGATCTTAAACCATGGTGACCTACCTAGGACAGTCTTCAGCCCAGTGACCGTAACCATCACACTGGAAACATTGTGTGTTTGGACAGTTATCCATCCTGTGTCCTAGCTGTCCACACATAACACACCCAATCTCAGATTGGTCAGGTCTGCGTTGACCGAAATGGCGACGTGTTGTGTAGCCACTACAACAGAAAAATTGATCGAAGCTCAAAACATATAAACAAACTTGTTGGTTGATGATTTTTCTGTTATTCTGCCCAAAGACAGGTGAACCTATTCGTCATAGCTTAGCGTACGTCATATTTCCAATTTTCAACTTTTGCTTTTTTTGGTTTCAAGATGGCTGCCATGGCCTCTGATTGGCTGAGATAATATTGATATCTATTGCGTTTAATGGGGTCGACTATGTTGATACCTTGAGTCATGGTATCTGGTTAGTAGCGTCAAGAGATGGATTCCATCAAAGTGTGCCTAAAATTGACTAGATTTCCTTTCAAAATCAGATGCTTGAAATATAAAGAAAAGTTCGAACGATTTTCGAAAAACGGAATCACATCGAGTAACCATATTTTGCTAGTGGCTCCCAGGGATTGATTCCAACCAATTTTGTAATTAAGATAACAAAGATCTACAATCAAAATGTCTTTGACCTACTTTTCAAGATCACAGGAGTCAAATATGTCGCAAATGTCTAATGACTTATTCTGAAGAACCAAAACCCCAAGGGTCAATATACAAGAAACTTTATTTAACGTCGCATAAAGGTGAACAAGGAACATAAGCTCTCGAGAGCTATTATGGCGACAAACATATGTAAAATAACAATAACACAATATATTACAAGTAAAGGGAGATAATCACATATATTAATACAAACAACAGTAATAATCATCACAGAAAAAGAAAGTATCCATATCCCAGGTTGCTAAGTGATTGGGAGTCCCCTACCTACAAAGGCCCCCGGGATATGACCCTTAAAACAATAAAATAGAATTAAAACATATACAAATGAAATAAGACAATAAAAGTATCACACAATTCAAAATGTCAGGTGGCAGAGGAAACCAGGGCACGGTATGAAGTATCAATCTTTACAGATTTTGCAAAGGCAGATGGGGCCATCCAGGAATGGACCAGCCTCCTGAATTCTTTGAAGTTTTCAACTTTTCTAAGGTCATTTGGGAGACTGTTCCACACCCGGGCGGCCTCAAAAGCAAACGATTTATGTCCATACTTTACAGTGTTGATCCTGGGCACCTCTGCAGTATTTTCTTTCATAAAGTCATAATTAGACATCTTAATATTTACAAGATAATTAATATATTCAGGATTCAGATTACATTGACATTTCAAGACATTTTCGATCCTAAACCTTGCTTACAAACCTTGAACAGTCGTCAGCCCAGTGACCGTATCCTCCGCATCGGAAACATTTTGTCTTTTGACATTTATCACCAAAATGGCCTAACTTCCCACATGTAAAGCACACCAGCTCGGAACATTCGGGGCTGCGATGACCATACTGGCCACATTTCGTACAGAATCTTCAATAAAAAAAAAAAAAAAACGAATTAAATAGTTTGTAGGAAAGCAGAGCAAATTTATTATTCCGTTGGTTGAATATTTCGAACGGGTACACAAGTAGTTTGTTTTTCAATTAATAAGGTTATGTTTAAGTTGACGTTAAATAATTAGACAATTACATCTAAATCTACAATTATTCATTTTTGATCATGAGTTTTAGAATAAATGTATGTTGATACATGCATGACGTTTAGGATCTGCAGCCATGCTCACAGACCTTACAGACCTGGGACAGTCCTCAGCCCAGTGATCGTAACCTCCGCAACGGAAACACTCTCTTTTCGGACAGCTATCCATCCAATGACCTCGCTTTCCACAAATAAAACACCGAGTATCAAATCGGTCGTGATTGCGTCGATCATACTGGCTGTTTTGCGGGCTGTATCTACAACAAAAAATATAAGAAATTATTTAATAATTGAACTAGAAACAAATTAATAGTTTCATAGCCAAACCTTTTTGTCACCCGCCCGATCAAAAGGCTCTAGTGATATTTTGCCATTCGTTTATCATCGTTCGTTAACAATTGATATATGTCAGTTTGGCTGCTTTCTTTTCACCAAAATCTCTGGTTTCAACGTCACGCTAATCTGATTCATGGACATGTCCCAAACAAAATGTGATTGACAGCACTCCTACTTCAATGGGATTCAACTTAAATAATAAAAAGGGGGAGCTGACCCTGAGGAGGGGTTGGGTCAAAGCGTGTGTGTGGGGGCGGGG